ACGTACGTTAACTACGTTAACTTAACGTTACTTAACGTTAACGTTACGTTAACGTTAACGTAACGTAACGTACGTAACGTAGTACGAGTAGAGAGAGAGAGAGAGAGAGAGAGAGAGAGAGAGTATTGGGGTCATGACCTGTCTGGTAGATCTCGCTCTCTCTCCAACATTGTCCATCATTTTAATCACATATCCGTGATGCCAGTTGGTCATGATTTTTGTAGTCCATTGAATATAGTATACTTGCCCCTTTCTTTTACCTTTACTATTTTCTATTGGGTCATCATCTAATGGGGTGCTAATCATTTCATCATATGGACCTCTAGATTCCTCATTTGCCATAAATAGTGGTGGCAAACAGATAACATCAGCTGATGGAACAGTTTATGAGCAAGATAATGTCACCCTTGGAATGGCTTCCTATTATGTAACTGACACACAAAGGTGGGCCATAAGCAGCACTGGGAGGTTTCTTGATAGTCCCAGTCCCCGGTATATTGAAACCAGTCAATCCCAGTTCACAGCCACTTTAGACACAGAGCTTTTCCAGACAGCAAGGTTATCTCCAGGATCCTTAAGATACTATGGCCTGGGCCTTCAAAATGGGGTGTACACTATCAGACTGGAATTTGCTGAACTAGAATTTCCTACTCCACCTGACTGGCGGAGTACTGGGAGGCGTGTTTTCGATATTTATATTCAAGTATGTGCCAGAAAAGAAACTTTTACTTTTAATTGGGGAAAGAGCAAAAACAAAAATAGGGAAAGTATGTCATAGTTCAATGGACTATGGTGCATGGTATCCCAAGCAACCGCCACTGTCCATTTCAATTGACAGATGGTTGGGGATTGACCATACCCTCATGAATGTCCTTGTGGTTGCCCATTCCAATGAACCTTTGAGTACCATGGTAGATGGTGCATTGAACTGTAGTATGCTCTCCCAAGAAAAGAAATGCTTCCATGATTATACTACCCTTTAATGAGGTAACTGAAATAATTCTTCCTTAAAATTTGGAAATCTTTTCAGGAATTATAATTACATTCTCTCCGTACTTGTTAAAGAATTAAACTAGGTTTTTTTCTTTATGTTGAATTCGTATTGCTTTCCAAGAAAATCGCAAGAGGTTGAGTTTCTGAATCTTGGATCTTAACATTGACAAAATTGCATCCACTGCAATGTAGGGGAAATTGGAATTGAAGGACTTTGATATCAGAAAGGCAGCAGGTGACTCTTCATTTAGAGCTGTTCCCAATACATACAAAGCAAACGTGACAGAAAATTTCCTTGAAATTCATCTCTTTTGGGCTGGTAAGGGTACTTGCTGCATACCCAATCAAGGATACTACGGACCTCTGATTTCAGCTGTTAAAGCTACTCCAGGTGATGACAACTGAGATGAATTTAGATACATTGTGACAACTGAAACAATTTGCAATGTTCCCAAGTTCTATATTTGACTTGTATGCTTGTTCAGATTTTGTGCCCAATGTTAGCAACTTACCACCAAGCACATCCTCAAAACAGAACAGAACCGGCTTAATTGTTGGGATTGTGGTTGGTTTTGGAGTCCTGTTTCTCATTCTCGTATCAGCAATTTTCATAGTCCGAAAAAGAAAGAAAAGAGGGCTATCAGATGAAGGTAATAATGGAAGTTTCTAAAACATCACATGTCATCATGTGTTCGTAGAGAGAGAGAGAGAGAGAGAGGCTTAAAAAATAAAGTTCTATGCTTGCTATTACCCGTGAGTCAAACTGAATTATATGATTGCAACTTTCTTTGCTTAAGACTTGGCTCAATTGGAATATGTGATGGAAATTTGTTCCTCTTTCTACTCATTGGTCTTGTAGAGTTTCTTGGAATGGGTGCCAGGCCAAACACTTTTAGTTATTGTGAACTGAGGACTGCGACTGAGGACTTCAATGCTAAGAATAAGCTGGGAGAGGGAGGATTTGGTGCTGTATACAAGGTAAACTTTCGATATGCTGATGTTTGTATGATTTAATAGATATTGGTGTCCAATACTCCATATATGTATATTTGGTAACACCCATGGATATTTTTATCACTTCCGTTACTTATATTCGGCAGCTTTCTCTAAATGGGCATATTTATTTTTATGCTTTTTAATGACTGGCATCATGTAATTGATGCATTATGGGATTGAATCTTTTTTTTTTTTTTTTTTAAGGGTTACACTATCGGATGGAAGAACTGTAGCAGTGAAACAACTGTCGGAAACTTCTCACCAAGGAAAGAATCAATTCATCACCGAGATTGCGACAATATCTGCAGTGCAGCACCGTAACCTCGTGAGGTTGTTTGGGTGCTGCATAGAGGGAGATCAGCGACTCTTGGTCTATGAATATCTGGAAAACAAGAGCGTCGATCAGGCACTATTTGGTAACTGATTCGCCTCACTCCCCTAGATACCCCAAATTATTCTCTCTCCACACACACTCCCTCTTCCGTGCAACACAGACACAAAACACTTCATCATTTATTGTTCCCTTCTTTTCTAAAATTTTCCAGAGGTACCATTCTTTCCCAAATTTACTGATATGGTACCACATATTTTATGCACGTCATAAATTGATGGCTTTTGACATTTATCTTTGTTTTTGTTTTTTGCTATGTTTTTGGCATCTATTTTTTTGAACATATCAAAATATTTTTTTGTCATTTATCTTGTGTTCTTTCTAAATAATAGAGCTATACTGGCATTTTTAATTTGTAGAAATTCTATCCTGGTGTTCAAATTTTTGTTATTATTTTATTTTTTTCATGCTTTTGTGGTATTCTTGGACGTTAGGATCCGTGAATAACCTTGCAATAAGACCAGTGCAGTTACTCGTATTAATAAATAAATAAATAAAAGAAGTCCATATGATGATATTAGGAGAATAGTCCAGAGACTATGAAAACATTTTTGACCAAAGCAAAGGTAACTATGATGCTAAAGAAATGACCAAATGCATCTACAATGTCCTAAGGATGACCAATAATTTGTGATTGTTTCTTGAAATGGCCAGAGTGGATATTTTATGGAACTTAATGAAAGCCCCATTTTTATATAAAATGGTGAAGTTTGTTTTCTTTTCAAATAGCTAACATAACCCTGATACTTTTGGATACCAATCTACCACTGACTTTTTCCTAAGGGAAAGATCTAAATTCCCCTTTCAATTGAGAAATGGCCTGAACATCCTAGCATATCGAAATGCTTCTGATCTTTCACGTGAATAAATTATTTAAAGTTTTCGTTGTACCTTCTGCTCTTTAAAACTTCAACTACAGTCCATCCAGATTCTTTCCGTTTCTACTTCTCAAACATTTCCCTACTAATAGTCATTCACAACATACACGAAATGGAGTCACTGCTGACTCGATATGCACTATAATCAGCTTGTCAACAAGAGACAGAACTGACTACCCATTAAAATTAGGAAGGATAGTTTCTTTTTGACAAATTGAGAAAATACTGAAGGCTAGAAGCTGCCATTTTCTATCCTGCAGAGAAGAGTGAACTACATCTTGATTGGTCTACCCGCTACGAGATTTGCATGGGAACTGCTAGAGGGCTGGCATATCTTCACGAGGAGTCGAGGCCTAGAATTGTTCACAGAGATGTAAAAGCTAGCAATATACTCCTTGATGCTGATCTCATTCCCAAAATCTCAGATTTTGGTTTGGCCAAGCTTTATGATGATACGAAGACCCACATTAGCACCAGAGTTGCAGGAACAATGTGAGCTTCCTTAACTTTGCTTTTTTAAATATCACAGACTATTAGAAACTTGTATTGAAGTAGTTGTTTGAAATCTTTCTGCATTGTAGTGGCTATTTGGCCCCAGAATATGCCATGCGCGGGCATTTGACAGAAAAAGCTGATGTATTTGGATTCGGAGTGGTGGCTCTCGAGATTCTTAGTGGAAGACTCAATTCAGATACAAGCCTAGATGAGGAGCAGATTTACCTCCTGGAATGGGTAAGTTACTGAGCATATATGCCAGACTGAGTAAACTAATGCACAGAGCCGTAGTTAATAAATCTATTATGTGTGTGCATCGTGTGCTTGTGTATTGCATGCATATATGTGTGTGTATATCTATATATGTGTAATGTCAAATGTATGTATGTATGCATGTCTAAATATCTACATTCATGTGTTACGCGCACGCTTATGTTTGTGTGTTGAAAGACAGATGTGGCCATGGCGTGCTGAAAATATACCCTGGCTCGCATCTACCTTCACTAACATCCACTTCCTAGTTCTTACCTCCTTTTTTATGTAAAAGAAGTTCGCATCCCTCTCTCTCTCTCTCTCTCAAAATATGGGTTTTGAACGTTTAAATCTACTCTACAATCTAAAATGAGGCTACAATTTGCCGCTTTGCAGGCATGGCATCTGCATGAGAACAATAGAGAGATAGAACTGGTGGATCAGAGGTTGACAGATTTTAACGAAGAACAAGCAACCCGAACTATCGGTGTGGCCCTCCTTTGTACGCAGGCTTCTCCTATTTTACGCCCATCCATGTCTCGCGTAGTGGCCATGTTAGCAGGAGATATAGAGGTGGCCACAGTTTCATCAAGGCCCAGTTATTTGACTGATTGGCATTTCAATGACATTAATAGCTTAGTTAGCCAGGATTATACTCCTTCCACAAGAGTCAATAATACACAGAGTGAGATGGACAGCACAACCTTTAATACAGACTCTTCACCCATGAATGCCAATCGCCCAATACCGCATGGGGGTATCGATGAAGGGAGGTGATGTATGATGTAAATGGAGCCTAAAAGATGATGTTTGTTTCATTGTTGGTTTTTATTGGACTCTCTCTCTCTCTCTTTTAGAGGTTACTCACCAGCGCAGGAGATGCTCTCAATGATTACTTGCTAGCAAAGAAGATGGTTTAGTGACTCACTGAGATGTATATTCTATCTGAAGGTGAGCTTTGAGTTTTGTGCTGTGTTTTAATTGTTTGAATATTTCCTGTTGTACATTTTTGTATTATCAACTACGACTGAGCCTTCTCTATGTTTCTGGTTATTGGGGATAATTGCTTCATGTAATGTGTAGACGCAATCTAAATGGTGAAAGGCTCTGGGTTTTCGTTGTATTTATTGTATTGCTGTTTGTTTGTGGCTTTTGTATATCATCAAATTTTATTCATTATGCGGGGTTCAAACCTACACTTTGGTTTAAAGCAGCGTGTATGTGTGTATTTTGGAGAGAGAGAGAGGCTGCCCATGATTTATGGAACCTCCTTGCACCTTGTGCAATATAATGTATACATCAGGCCAGGGTTTTTTTTCTTATTTTTAAATAAAAAATAAAATAAAAGAATGAAAAAACAAGCTGATTCCATTATAGAGTTGGGAGTGGCTGTGATTCGATTCGGGCAGCTTTTGTTAAAGAACTAGGTGATTTTGTCAAGGAATCATTGATCCATTGGACTCTCTTTTTTTGTCAAATTTTCAACTAATTTCACGAAAATTTGAAAGACCTGATTGTTTTTTATCCTCAGATCCATGTAAAATAATTTTGAGCCAAAACCTTGAACCGCAGAATGCCAGAAGCTAGAAGTTCCATTTTTGGCACCTTTTTTTTATTTTCCAGATCCCCCTTTTATCTTTGATTTCTCATTGTTTCCGACTCATTTTCAGCAAAATGGGTCAAATTATTTATTTTTCATTGCTCGACAACCGATCAAAACAGTTATTGGATAAGATTTAGAGATCGAAAATTGGAATTTTTTAAAATTTGGTGTTTTTAAAAAGGAAAAAGATAAGGTTACATCTTGAATTAAAATGCATCTCAAAAATCCTTTGGAAAATGTTGTTTTGATGTTAGAAAACCCTTTAATTAATCATCTCGATATTGATATGCATAAACATGTAAAAAAATAAAAATTTTGAGTTCCAAAAGTAGTGCATCTCGCAAGACATTATCTAGACAGTACATTTAGATCTACTTAATTTTGACATTTTTGAAGTTTAAAAATTTATAATGAATTTTTTACACCAAACTTACATCTTGTGAAAAATTTTTGGAGGTACACCTTATTTGGATTGTTAAAGTTAAAGTTGGCAACCTTATACAAACCAAACCACACCCGAAAAGGAAAAAGTTTAAACCCTTTAAAAGTTTAAATACATTTTTAACTGAAAAATAGAAAATCACATTTATTTACTTATTTATTTCAATTTAAATGAGATTTTATTTAATTTTTTGAATTTTTATTTACTTGAGATTGTCCGATTGGGTGAACAGTCCAGCCAGTGGCCATTTTAATGGGCGGAGCTGACTTGTGGCCGCCACTCCATGCAAAGAGCCACTCAGAGAAAACAAATAAATACATAAACAACGAAATCAATTAATCCAAGACGTGTTGAATAGAATATTCAAATAAAATAATTCAATTCAATATTTCAATTCTATATTAGATTCTTTTACTATTTTTATTTTTAGATTTTTTATTTGAATTCAAAATATCAAAATATTAATAAATTAATATTTCTTAATATGTTGAATATCAATAGCTAGAGACATTTTAATCATTTCTTAACTGCAAAAGAACCATGATTAACACAGACGTGTAACCAGCAATCTTCACGCTTCCTTTCCTACGACAATGAAATGAGCAAATTAATTGAAAGATAAAACAAATATTCATGCCAAAACCCGATTTGCAGTCTCAAAAAACCACCAATTTCGTAGAGAAAAGATTCACCCCATACTTAAGAAAGTTGGGCCCGCGATTCATCCACATTATACAGCCCAACTGAATTTATAATTACTAATTGCTCCATAATTAGAAAGGCAACACTCAAGATGCACATTTGTGCCAGAATTTTAACAATCGATGTTCTTCAAAATAAATATAAAGACGAAAATAGTACATTCAAGCTCCAAAAACATAATGGATCATATCATGTTGCCTCCATCATCCAGAATGGATTGTCTTCTTGATGTTAAAACACAAAATCTTCTTCATCGCTTTCATTGCCTTCAACTGAGACATATTCATTTGTTTTATGGGTCAAGTAATAACAAGGGGAAAGAGGGATTTACAACATCGGGTTCTAACGCTGGAAGTTGATGGAGTACGATCCAGTGTTTGGATCTTTAACAGCTTTGAAATTGTCCACGCTCATGCCGAAACGGCCCAATATCGAATTTCCAAGGTCTTTCAATTTACCTGCAGTTACTTCAGCAAAAATCAAGCACTGAAATTCACAGAAGGCATAAAAGAATTTGTAAACTTTTCTTTTAAGAGAAGTAACTTTCATGGAATGTTTGGTGAGAGTGTGCTCCTAAAACATAACAAAGGCCCTTTTGGCCATTTTTCAATAATTAAATCATTCAACGCAAAATGAAAATGGGAATGCCTCCACTGCTGCAATAACCATTTTGTCAATGCAACATTGAACAAACGATTACGCTTCCTTGTCCAAAAACTATGTGAAAATTTTTAATCTTCCCTCAGTGTCAAAAAACTCGTATGGTCAATGTTGCATGCCTAGGTAAGATTTAGATTTTACAGATAACTTGCTCCCCGGTCTGACCTCTCCATGTTACCTGTGTCCCCGGCGCTCTCTTCTCCTCCCCCATCCCCGGACCCTGCTGCCACCCCTGGTACCCCGCTGTCACCCTCGGCTCACCCAACCCCCTCCCTTCCCCTGTTGGTGTCTCTGCCCGCTCCCACCCTATCCCCTTCTGTTCTTTCCTCTAACCCCGTGCTTCCAACCTTCCCTTGACCTCCTCAACCCCTGAACCTTACCCTGATTTACCCTTGGACCTGCACTCCTCGTACCCACCTAATCCATCACTCTCCCCTTATGCTGATAACTCTTGTTGGGCCTCTGCGGCTCCCTCTCCGGCTGGCAGGTCCCAGACTCCAACACCCCGCCCTCTTCTATTGACTCGGCTTTCGTCGAAGGTATTGATCGTGGACATGGAGACTTCTTGGAACTTCTCAGGGTAATGGGCTTTCCTCCTAAAGCCCCGACGACCCTTTCCACCGTTTCATCAAGGCCGATGCTCAAAGTCGCCTCAAGGTAAGAATCAAGGGATGGAGGGAGGTTCTTAACCTTTACTCCAGTATTAACTATGACAATAGGGCCCCCTCTGGACCACCCACTCAAGTCATTGTGCTAGTTCCCACCATCGGCCCCCTTTGTAGGAGGTCTCCAAGACTGGCAGTCTGTCCCAACCCCCCTGTCTCCTCATGAAGCTCATCTCATAAAATGTCAAGGGTTTGGGCCAACTGCCTAAAGGAAACGCTGCCAGGGATCTGTGTACCAAACACGGCCCGTCTATCCTTACGCTCACTGAAACCAAAATGCCGGACCCCTCCTTGCAACTTATCCGTCAGGTCTGGGGACGAAGACCTTGTCAGTGGCTATCCCAGGCTGCTTTAGGAGCTTTAGGGGGCATCTGGTTGATCTGGAATCCATCAGAGCATTCCCTTCAGTCCTCCCTTATTGGAAACTTTTCTGTCACCGCCATCCTAGTTAGACTTACGGACGGCCTCCCCTGGAAATTCACAGCAGTCTATGGTACGAACTCGACTGCTCTCAGAACTGCTTTTTGGGAAGAACTTGACCGTGTAGCTTCTCTCCCACACCCCATTTGGTGTTTGGGAGGGGACGTCAACATTACCAGATGGTCGTTTGAAAAGAATTCTAACCCCAATTTCTCTGCAGGCATGGCAGACTTCGAAGATTTCATCTCCAGAAATGATCTCCTGGATATTCCCCTCGAAGGGAATCTCTTCACCTGGTCGGACCATTCTGCTCAGCCAACCCTTTCCAAACTAGACAGGTTCTTGCCGTCCCGGCCCTGGGATGAATCCTTCCCAAGTTCGAACTCGTTGGCCCTACCAAAACCTACATCGGACCACTGCCCAATCCTTCTGGATACCCAACCGGTCCTGAGAGGGCCTAAACCTTTCAGGGTCAAAATGTTTTAGTTGGAAGACCCTTCTCTTGCATCCCTCATTCCCCTCTGGTGGCATTCGTATGCCCCTTTTGTCTTGGGAAGGATTCAACACCTTAAAAAATCTCTTAAAGATTGACGCAGGACCATTCCTGGGAACTTTTCCCTCTTGAAAGCTTCACTGAGCATGATAGCTTAGAGGAAACCAGATCCCTATCCCCCGCTGAAATCAACCTCAGATCTCAACACAAGCTGGAATATTTTTCCACCCTTAAGAAAGAAGAAATCTTCTAGTTCCAGAGGTCCAGGGTGAAATGGCTTCGCCTGGGAAACCACAACACTGGCTTCTTTCATCGGATTGCTGATTGCCGGCGTGTCAGGATAACTCTATATCCTCCTCAAAGTTGGAAACTCCATCCTGGTTCAGCCAGACCAAGTGGAAGCAACGATTCTATCTTTTTACTGAGACCTCTACTCGGCACCCTTAAACCCTAGACCGAGAAAGGGGGACCTACAATTCCACTCACTTCCTCTCGAATGGACTACTTGGTTGGAACGCCCTTTCTTTGAACCAGAAATCTTGAAAGCTATCTCCGACCTTGGCAAGGATAAAGCGCTAGGGCCAGATGGCTTTCCCCTAGCCCCATTCAAGGCCTTTTGAGAGACTTTCACGACGGACTTCCTTAACTTTTTTGAAGAATTTCACCATATGGGCATCCTGCACAAAGCAATGAATGAGACATTCATTGCTCTGGTCCCGAAGATTGAAAGAAGTGCTACAATTGGTCATCTCCCTCTCCCAAAGTGCCTTTATTAAGGATTGACAGATTCGTGTAATGGTAGCACATGAGTGCCTTCATTCCCGTCACTTACAAAAAAAACTTGGCCTCATCTTCAAGATTGGTTGGGAGAAGGTCTACGACCATGTAGATTGGTCACTTTTGGATGAAACAATGGGTAGAATGGGGTTTGGGGACCATTGGAGGAGGTGGATGAGGGGTTGCTATTCAAACCCCCACTTTTCCATTTTGATCAACGGCTCGCCTAAAGGTTTCTTCCCCTCTTCTAGGGGTCTTCGCCAAGGAGACCCTTTGTCCCCTTTTCTATTCTCCATTGTAGCCGAAGTTTTCAGCCAATCAATCTCCCGTTTATACCAGGCGGACTTATTGCATGGGTTCAATAGCAGTTCAAGGGGACCCTCGGTCTCCCACTTGCAATACGCTGATGACACTCTGGTGTTCATTGATTCCACCTTTGAGGATGTCGAATGCCTCTGTTTAATCCTCAGGTGTTTTGAGTTCGCTACTAGATTCAAAGTGAATATGGAAAAGTCCACAATGATATGGGTCTCTCTCACCCCCGACGAAACAAGAGCTTTGATTCCAGATTGGCAATGTAAAGTGGATCCCAACCAGCTATTTGGGGATGCCTCTGGGCATATGTAAACCAAAGAAGAGACAGTGGTCAAATGTTATTGACAAAGTTTGACCGTCGGCTAGCTGGTTGGAAGGGGAGGTTCCTGTCCTTTGCAGGAAGAACCACCCTCATAAAGGCAACGCTATCCAACAGCCTCGTCTATCTCATGTCCCTCTTTCATATGCCTGCAGTAGTTGCCAATCGGACTTTCCTCTGGTCAAGGGAGCCCGAGTAAAAAAAGTTCCATCTTGTTGCCTGGGACAGAGTTTGCCTACCTAAAACATCAGGGAGGGCTAGGGATTCGCTCTATAAGAAAACATAATCCGGCTTTGTTGGGAAAATGGTGGTGGCATTTGGCGAATAATTCAAATCTGCGCTGGTAAGAAGTGTTTCGCCGCAAGTATAGAATCCTAGCGTAAGCATGGCTACCAGAGGGGAGGTCCTCAAGTAGATCTTCGGGAGCCTGGAAAGCTACCCTCTCGGTCCTCTCTAAATTTAAACAATTCATCTGGCTCCACCCAAGGCCGGCAGCAAGGTTCGATTCTGGTCTGACCCTGGTTAGGCAACACACCCCTTAGGGATTGTTACCCCTCTTTGTTCTTGTTCTTCCTCTTGGGTATCGGAAGAACTACCAGCTGCCGGTAATCGTAGGGTTTGGAACCCCTCTTTTAGACGCCCTTTCTCTGATGCTGAACTCCTGGACTTTATTTCCCTCTCAGCCTTGCTTCATGATACCTTCCTCGCATTCTCCAGATCAAATAGGATCATTTGGACCCCAGATGCATCGGGTTCCTTCTCAGTCTCATCGTTCTACAAAAGGCTACTCCAACCCCCTTCTCGCTGGTGTCCAACGTTTGGTCCTCGATAGCACCCCCCGAAAGTGCAAGCTTTCAATTGGATAGCTTGCTCTGAAAGTGCGCTAACAGTGGACCAGCTTAAGCGTAGGGCACTATCCCGAATCGTTGTGTTCTATGCCTCAGTGAAGAATAGAACCATCCTCACCTCGTCATTCACTATGACTTAGCTTACAACCTGTGGAGTAGGCTTTTGAGCCTTTTTCGCTTGTCTTGGGTTATGCCCACTTCCATCACTGGCCCTTTCAACTTAGCCGACGACTTCCCCTGGCCCAAAGTTGGTAGTATCCTTTGGAAGGCCTCCATAGAGGCCACGATATGGGTCCTGTGGACGGAAAGGAACGCAAGAATCTTTTGTGGACTCTATAGTGAAACCACTGCTTTGTTTTCACAAGATCCACACTTTAGTGACCTTCTGGGCCACTAATCACAATGTCTTTAAGGATCTCTCCTCCTCTTTGTTCTTCTCGAACTGGCAGCAAGTCCTCCGGCTCCTACACCGTCGCCCCACTTGACATGGGGGTTGGTCCCCTCCTCCGCCTAGTGCTATTAAGTTCAATTTCGATGGATGTTCCCTTGGGAATCCTGGCCCATCCGGGGTAGGGGGGTGTTCAGAGATCACCAAGGGAATACTCTGGCATCTTTCTCCAAACACATCGGTCAAGCTGATTCACAGCTCGCTGAATCTCTGGCTTTGCTCACATATCTCAAGCTTTCGATCTTGAGTGGGGCCAACCCCTGCTGGTAGAAGGGGACGCACGCAAAATAGTTTCTTGGGCTGCTGGTCTACTTACCCCTCCCTGGTACCTCGCTCCTATTTTTTATGAGATCTCTCACCTTTGTAGGTCTACAGTCTTCTCATGAACGCATATTTGGAGGGATTCAAATGGCTTCGTGGACCACCTAGCTAAGGAGGAGCGATCGCACTTGTCGCGGCCACTTTTTAGTTCTCGGCCTCCTTATTTCCTAGACATGACTTCTTTTTGCCTTTTGAGATTGTATTTGCAACACCAGTTACTGCCTGCTTTTGTACATCGGTGTTGAGGCCTCTGTTTGTGTGTTAAGGCTCTATTACTAGACCCCATTTTTTGTACAGGACCTCTTCTCAGAGGTTACCCCATTTTTGGTTAAGAGGCCCGGCTTGTGGGCTCTCTCCTTGAAACCCTGTCTCCCTTCTCCCTTCTCCCTCTTAATTCAATGTTAACTTAAACAAAAAAAACAAAAATCTTTATTGATAAATAAAGTTATGTGTGCGATTATAAAGACTTATTCATGCATAAAACAATTCTAATATATGGAAGAGAATTATCAAGATCAGCACAAAAATATTCCCTACACAACTTAAGAAATATCAAAAAATCCTCTTATTCATGCGGTACCTTCTCCATTCACTGGCAGCACCCAATGAAAATAGTTAAATTTGTTAAGTATGATAAGTTGGTGGGAACTTTACAAGGCTGGTTTGGTAGGACATGAGCCACCCACATGGGATCATGGGAATGTGTAACACAGTGCCTAAAGATTGCTTCATGCACGATGGACAGCTCTTTCAAAGAAACTCAGAACTGATAAGCAATGTGAGATAATGGAGGTAAACCACTTGATCAGGGAAGCCGTTATGTTGACTGATAGATCAGCTAATTTGGATATGGGTAGGAATGGATTAGCTCCATTCCATTCAGAGTAAACCTCTACTGAGCCAAAATCGTTTCTTTGAGAGTTGAGAGTTGAGCAATTTAGGAGTTGAATCATACAACTAAGGAGCTGAGAGATGCCCCAACGGCTTCAATTGTATGGATGATGTTGTAACCTAAGATCAGCAACTCACTAATCTTCAATTTCAAGATCCTAAACACATTTGGAGAACACTTCAAATTCAAATAAGAATAAGTACTACAACTTCAGCAAACAAAAGGTAATCATCCAAAAATCTAGATAAGCATTCTGTAAATTAATCATCCAACCAAATCTAAAACTACGTTAGGACCTAGAGAGAGGAAGGGGGTGTATAATAACTTAAAATTAATTCCAGAAGGTTTACACAACTAGTTCTTAGGTGTAGAAGTTAATGGCGGGTAGAAAGTAGGGTTCTAACTTGGAAACAGCAGGATCACTGTCTACAAGTGTCTCAATTGACTAGTACGTAGAACAAAATGCCAGTACCGCTAGACACAATTTATTTTTTTATAAGTAAATATTGTATTTATATAGTATAGTATTCCATTTTATAACATTACTTAAGTGGTTGGTGAGATGGTAGACCATATGGTGGTGTTTTTTGATGCAAGGTGGTGAGAATTCAAATCTCACTGTAAGCATAATTTTTACAACTAATAAAATATTATGTTAAGTATATATTATTTAAGTTGCCCCTTCATTTAAATTCAACAACATATGGAGACATGGTAGCATGTGATGGTGTGGAACAGTTAGAGACGCATTCCATTCACCGTGAGTATAATACACCTTTTTATTGCTAAAGAATAAAGAACAGAGAGAGAGAAAGAGAGCATTGCAAGCTATGAGATTCGAACCATGGACCTGCCAAAGGCAAAATACAAGCTCTCCCAGGTGGAAACCTAGAATTATATGTCAAAAGTTGCACCACACTTTCAATTAAAGTATCTATACTGTACCAGAAAAATAACGACATCAGCGGACACCTACATGTCGGGGCCGTGTCTTTAAGTGTCGACACCTAACGCCATCCTCTGGCATATCAAGGTAACACTGGTTTTGGTTAATTATGAGGACCTATGGATTATTTCTTTAAGGTTTTGATAGATTCTTCAAATGGGATGTGTAGAACCAGAAAATAACAAGGAAAAGGGAGATAGAAAATGGGGAAAAAGAAATAGAGGAAGAGGACAAAAAAAAAAGGGAAACAAAATGGAAAAAGTAAAAAGAAAACAATTGGTTAAAAGGGGAAAAAAATGAACGAAAGAAGGAATAAGAATGGAAAGAAAAAGGAATTTAGGAAAAGAAAATGGAAGAAAGGAGACAAAGAAATGGAGGAGAAAGAAGAGAAGAAGAAATTAAAGAACAACTTGGAAGGGACGGACCTGGAGAGGTGCTAGCCAACCTTCTATATGGCCTTCAATCAAAGAAGGCAGGAAGCCCTTTCTAGTTTCTTTTTTCTTGTTGGCTCTTAAAGTTCTAAAAAATAAACAAGGGCTTGACATTCCTGCATGGCCTTTTTGTACAAATTGTCTTAAACATAAATACATAATGACTTAAAATACCCCTAGTCAAAATAAAATAATAAAAGGAATAAACTACCCTTGAATTCTCTAAAACTTTTTTCTCTCTATAATTAATTCTCTACGACTTCAAAAGGCATAAATACCCTTAGTTTCACTCTCCCACAAAATTATCAATATAAAACCCTAATTCCTCTCATGTTTTCCCTCAAAAATGTAAATAAGAAAACAATTTTTCCCAATGGAAGACCAGGATGTCCTCATTACATGTGGAAATGAGATTTACTGTGATCCTTAAGGGATTTGCAGAAAGTTAAAGAAGGATTATAGGGGTGATTTGAGATAGAAGTGACAGATCTAATAATCGAGTACTTGCACCCATGTCAAATATTCAAGGTAAGGCTCCTGAGTTCTGGATGATTAGATTACCCCAGCTAAAGAATATCAGGTCTTGAATAGTGAGCCCACATGCAACATCTCTTATTCAGCATCTTAAAGCTAATAAGAATCCCCAACCTTCTTATTTCTTTTGAATACATCCATAAGGAGAGTAGAACTATCAATATAAGGAAACAAATACATGACTCGAATATCTAACTCTTTGCAGATATCAAGCTCTAATGAGCAATTGTGTCAGGTGCAGGACCCCTGATATTTTGAAACACAGTCCCATCCAGGCCAAGAATTTCTTTGTTTCTTCAGAGAAACAAGAGAGCTTCTCGGTTGTTAGTTATTTGAAAAACCCAATTTGCACACAACTCACTGAAAGGTCATATGTCAAATATTTAATAGAAAGGTGGAGCACATAATCAAAGAAAATTCTTAATTGGTCATACCAATCATCTCTTCCTTCATCTTTTCTCTCTTTTCTGCAGCCAGTGGCTCTAAGCGTCCTATGGCTCTTCTAGATTGCTCATTGGCAGGATCAAGCTCCAAGATCCTCTTCCTATCTGAGGAAAATCAGAAATTTTACAACTGAAACAATAAGCAAAAGAAAAAAGGTCTTAAATGAAATGTACATGATTTCATGTCAATATACTTTGTGAGAACTTGCCCATAATTCTCAATACCTGCAATAGCCTCTTCAAAGTTCTCAAGTTTTTCATTGGCCTCTGCTCTCCTGAGCAAAGCTTTCACATAAGTAGGATTCAGCTTCAATGCTTCCGTGCATTCTTTTACTGTCTCTGTATCTCTTCCCTGAAAGTATTTATAGCAGTTCAAAATTATAATTGCTAAAACATTGAAATAATTAAAGGACAGAACTGATCAGAAACTTAATGTCCACTAATGATAGTAAAATACCACAGAGAGAGAGAGATTGCTTGAGAAGAATTGGTCTAGCAAAGATTCTTGTGGAAGTGTGATAATGCACAAAGGATACATATACTGAATCAAGATGACCTCAACAGATGTGCCATTTCCAAGTTAATCTAAACAACCTTATACTGGACCATGACCTTAATTGAGGGTTGGGCAATAACAGGTTATGAGCTTCTAGTGAATCTACAATATCACAGTGACCTTTCGAACTTCCAGTAAGATTGTATCAAAGTCTTAATCCTCCCCACTCCATATTTCCTCCATCCACTTGATTACCTGATACAATAACTCCCCTAGTCAGGGATTGCCACTTGCTTTGAATGCAACCAATTGGATAGCCTTGTTCAGAAGAAGCATTATATATATTCAATGCCAGCACCAGTTCAGCCTTCTACATGCTGATTCTATACTGTATTGATGGCATTCAACAAGAAGCATGAACATTTCTAAATTCACATACTTCCATGATGCTCAACCTCATAGTCCTAGTAATTACAACTGGATCACCTCAAACATAATTGGTGAATTCGCAAAATATAAGGTATCAGTTAACAATTTTGTTGTGAACACAGTTGGCAAGCTAGGATGCGGTTAGGGTGGCAAATTGGACTTTAGTGGCTCATCAGAAAATTGACAAGGCATGGTGCAATTTCTAGTGGAAAGGCAAAGAGATGTAGAGATTCCCCCAATGGTGCTGAACTCAATGAAAGAAGTCGTGTTCTAGCAAACTGCTATATTATTCGGAGGTATTGCCTTTTAAGGCTGTTCGAGTATAATATTGATATTGATAAACAAAAAAAATTTGGACAATTGGATGAGAGATTGAGGAAAATGGAGAGATTGATGACGATGTTGCACATAGAATTAGCGCTTCGAAAATGTGAAACCGGAATTCTATGTACTTGTTGCATACCTATGAAGTTGAAAGGCAAGTTCTATAGGACAGCTGTGAGAACAACTTTGCTCTATGGAGCAGAATGTTTAGGCGGTCAAAAAACAATATACCCATAGAATGAGTGTATCAGAGATGAAGATGTTGAGATGGATGAATGGCAAGACAAGAAAGGATATAATTTGAAATGAATACATTCGGGAAAATTTAGGTGTGACACCAATAGGTGATAAGATGTATGACCATAGACTTAGGTGGGTTGGCCATGTGTGGCGCAGACCCAATACAACTCCTGTAAGAAAGGGCGAATTAGTTCAACTGGAACGCTCAAAAAAGGAAAAAGGTAGGCCCAAAAGGATATGGTTGGAAGTAGTGAGAAAAGATATAAGGACCTATGACCTCACTGAGGGTATGACTCTTAATAGAATAGAATGACGGACCAGGATTCGTGTAGCCGGCCCTATTAGTTGGGAAAAGGCTTTGACGATGATGATCGATGCGAGGATGATGATTGAAGATGCATCAAGGCGAGCAACATCTCAATTTTTTCCCCTTTTTGATTGATACTGAAATCATAAAACAAAACGTTTTTTTAAAATGACAATTCAAACAGATTGTTATGGGAAAGAGAGCAAAAATTAAGGTAGCATAAAACCATCAGGTTTGCCTCTCTAAGATATTTGTATCAAGCTTTCCTCTCAATTCAGAAAAAGTATCAAGCTTGCTTCCCCAAGAATGTGCCTAAAGCCAACAAAATAAAATAACAACAACAAAATTCAAATGGGTTATCTATTTCAGGGTACAATCACGGAATTGCATCATTTCAAAAAGGAAATTCTCATGGAATTAGGGACTCCCCTTTGAGCCATCCAACAAGTTAGAATAACATCAGTCTAAAAGGCAGTAAGGGCAGAGGACTTATTGCAAGATTGGATAAGCCGAGGAGCGGCACACCCAAAGGTGTTAATGCTAAATTTAATTGGGGGAGGAGAACAGATTTTAGAGCATATAGGCCATAGAAGAATAGCAAATTGAAAGTTCAAGAAACAAGTTCAGTTTACATATCAAACTACAACACCAAAGTTTAACACAATGAAAAGTTGGAGGAAATTATAGCATTACAAATGAGATTGAGCTCCTGGTAACATAACATTCTTCTGACTCCAAATTCACTTACTGATTTTCAAGTAAACAGATAACACAAGCATCCCCAAATGAAGCAGCACCCTTAAGAAATTTTTTGGGGGCTTTAACTACACAAGATTCTCAACACATTCCCCACCAACTCTTTCACAATGATATGTACAAAAATATGTTCTCACCTAAAAAACTTAAGGCCATGTTTGTTTGTGGAAGAGGGGGGGTGCCAAAGCCCCCTCATGCTTGACATGGAAGGGATGACTTCCACAAATCAACGTCAAAAGACGTTGAGCATGGAATATCATTCTTCCTAAAATCAGCTTCCATGAGGCACAAACAAATATGGAAGCCGATTAAAGTGGCACTTGGGTAGTGGAAGACCAAAAGTTTCACCAAATCAAACACGCCCTAAAAGAACTTGAGTACCAATAGAAAAAGAATAGCGACAGTCACAATAACAAAAACAAAGAAGCAGAAAATAGACAAAATCTACATATATAGCAGGCTCCACTCAACCTACCCAGCAATTATTCATTGAGGGATGCATTCTAATGTTCATAACAAAGACAAAAGAAGAAAGAAATTGCTTTTTGAGGAAGAGCCTTTGACAGCTTAACCAAGAAAAGTGTTCAAATTCAACAAGCAGGTAAGCCAAGAAATTAAATATAAATAGGGTATACCAATTTTGAAAAGCAGACAGCTCGGTTAGCATGACACATGGAACGAATCTCGGATGATAAAGGCGAATCTGGGCAAAGTTCCAAAGCAAGCGCATATTGTGTCAATGCCTCGTCATAATTTCCACCGCCAAACAGTTTATTGCCCTCACTTTTTGAATCGTTAGCTTGAGCTATCGCTCTCTGCTTCAAGAAAATAATAACCAAAAACATATTAGAAATCCGCCACCAAAGATCACATCACATGACACTTCTCGCTTGCAAACCAATCTGACTTCAAACCATTTCCTGTTTTTTTGGATGGGTGAGGTCGTAAATCAAAACAATCAAACCTTCAGTGATAAGATTAAAAAAAAGCAAATAAAAAATAAAGCTAAGATCCAAGGTTTGAATCCCAAAGTCGAACCAAAATAAAGAGACAATTCTTTGCTATGTTGTAATTTTGCCAATATTTCACATTCTTAATTTTATTTTCCATCTTTTTTCTTCCCTCTATAAAACGCTGCGTATGTATCTCTTCGTAGCTGCTCGTGTATGATCATTCACCTCATTCAGTAATCATCAAATTTGCTTTTTTTTTTTCTTATAGGTGATCGAATGTGAAAAATTACAGATCAAAATTTGAAAGATCCAACTGAAATAAAGGAAAACAAATTTACAGAGATACTGAAACCACCTATTGGCGTTTCACAATCAACTTCTGAATCAGTTCTTATCAGCTAGCGATAGGGAAATATTCAGTGCGGAAAGAATTTCTCAATCGAATCAAGTCATTAACCAGAAAGAAGAAAAATAACTATTGATTCTAGAGAGCAGAAATGAGAATAAGAGAGAGAGAGAGTACAACTACTATATCTAGAGAGATGAAATGGGTATTATAGAGAGAGGGAAAGGCACCTGTATTTGCTGTTCATCTGTCAATGCATCCTCATAGGAATGAGCGTTTTCATCGCCTTCTTCTCCTTCGCTTGCAGTCTCGAACCCTTCACCTTCTCTGGTTTGATGATTCTCCTCTGAGAGAGATGATGAAGGGGCCTCTTCGACCCTGCTACCATTCTCCTGAAAGTTTTTCTTTTGCTTCTCGTCTCCATGGCCGCTAGCTGGTTCGATGGTCACCATCTCGCGCTGATTCAATTCCTCTCTCTCTAGAACGGAAACAATGAGAAATTCTCTCACTTAATATTCCCCACCTCTCTCTCTCTGGACGAACAAATAAAGTGAGCCTCTCTTTCTCTCTAAAATCAAACTATAAACTGCTTCTGTGGGGAAAAGAGAGAGAGAGAGAGAGAGGGATATGCTTCTAGTTAGGGGCATAAATATCCTCTCAAGAAAGGAATAAAAGTCGGTCAATAAGTTCGAGATTTACATCCGTGGTGTATGGTATTAAACAAGGGAATTTATAGTTAGGACCCCTAAAAGTTTTTTACTTATTTATCAAAAGGTTAAAATAAGGCGATTTTTTATGAAAAAATAAAGCCTCACCTCAAAATTAAATAAAAAATATAGTTCTAGTATTAAAATATCTTAAAACAATTATTTAGATCTTGATTATTATGGTCGTAAAAAAATTTAAGATTTCGAGCTCTAAAAATAATATATATTGTAAGACATTATTTAGATGGTTAATTCTCCAGTGTTCATGAATCTACAAGATTTATTTTCTTTTTGCGAATAAGGTCCATAGTTATCTTTTTCACTCTTCATAAAAGAGCAATAGCCGAGCATGAACTACCTCTTTCTTCTTTTTCTTTTCTTTCTAAACAATAAAGTCCATAATTATCTTTTTCGCTCTTCTTATGATAGTAATGGCCTAGCATGAACTACCTCTTCTTTTCTAAAAGAGGTAAAAACATCACACAAAATAGGGTAATAGGAACCCACAGGTATTTTTCTTTCATTATTAACTTGTTTTTTTTCTTGGAGTTTTTCTATCATTAACTTTTTTCTTTTCTTTTTTTGGGGTAATTATGTTAACAACTTGTTTGTATTGATAAGCTTGGTAATCCTAGTTTCTTAATTTTGATCTCAAATCCATATGAGAGATGGACTATTTTCCAAGGAGAGTACAAAATATGCTCCCACCTGAGCATAGTGTATATCTACTCCCTTGTTTAGAAGACCTTCAAGGGGGGGAAAAAAATGAATTTTGAGTTTTCTATTACTTCGGTCTTATGTTTTAAAAATTGGGCAGTCCTTATTCAATTTTGAGATCTTATTTTTTCAAGTATGTAGAGTGTGCAATTAGGATTTTTTTTTATTGAAATTAATCTATGGGTTAAGGAGGTGAGATCCCAAAAATTTGGGGTCCTAAAATCAATTTTTTTATAGGAGTAAATAGACAGTATACTCACGTAGGAGCATCATATCTTTTGGAGACTATATTCAAGTTTAAAAATGTTATTTCTTCTTTTTCTTTCTCTTTCTTTTCTTCTTCTTTCTTTTTCTTCTATTTATTTATTATTATTTTTATTTTTTTATTTTTATTTTTGAAATTGGTCGTTAAGTTGAAGAGGATACATCTCCAAAATAAGGTCACAAAAATGCTCCTATATGGATTTTTATATCAAGGAGTAAATGAGTTGTGTGCTCTCATCAAAGCACTAATTATTTGGGGGCTAAATCATTTGATAAGCATTACAATTTGGGGTAAAATTATTGCATCTTGCTCGTGGCACAAGAACAGAAGCGAAGGGCACTCCTTCACAGATAACATATCCACTCTTCCAAAGAGCTCATATTGGAGCCCAGTGCCAACAATAAAATAACTAATTTTAATTAATTTCTATATCTAAAACGAAAAAAAAAAAGGAAAAAATAAAACAAACAATATAAAATAGATCTTATGTTTAACTTAACGATCAGAAGGCTAAAGAATTACATATCTTATCCAACACCCAACATCCATAAAATAAAATAATAATAAATAAATAAATGAAAATTGAACATTCAAGACACTAGTTGGATTACGTGCATTACAAGTACAACAAAATTAAGATATTGGGTAAATACTTTTGTTAATATGCAATGAAGAGTGTATAGAAATATAATGACTAATCCCTTAATTAATCACATAAATATTACACATTTTCTATTATTACATAATAGCATTACTAATTTTGGACATATGATGATAATTAATTAGGTAATGTATGAAAACAAATAACATATACTAAATACATAAATAACAATTTCATAAGCACACATGATGCGTGATAGATATAAGGGGAATCTACATAAAGGATTTCTAATACCAATCTTCATGAATTTAACATGAAAACCATAACATCTTACACCAAAAAAACCTCATTGTTGTCCCGTGACCTTTTGGTTATGAGCCATAACGCCCGGTTGTATTGTTCATTACTCTTACTTCAAAGAGAATATCCTCAAAATAAGATATGAGACCAGGTTGTATTGTTTATTACTTACTTTTACTTCAAAAAGAACATCCTCAAAATAATATTTTGAGCTAATTAATTCAAAGCAGGTGTTTATGAAGTTTAAATAGAATAATTATATACCTTAGGAAAGGCTAGGTTTCTCTAGTGTGATACTGCTCTAATCCTTATTTTAACCTTGTTCTACAATATACATGATTTATAAAATTTAAAAATAAATAATAGATAAATACAACAACTTACTTTTAAAGATTAATGTGTTCGTCGATATTCGGGAAGAATAATACCTGAAAAATTATGGAGTTATTTTTTTTCCAATCAAGAATAAAAGTTTGTACCAATAATTACAAAATAAATCTAAACTGTGAAATTGAAACTAAATAAAAAACCATAAAACTAAACTGAAACCACTGAAGGTTAACCAAGAGAGAAATGTAACTAAAAACATAGGGATGAGAGAAGGTAAACCAAGGGAGAATGTACCTGAAAATTGGGGGAAGAGAGATTGTGGGAACTAAGAATTTGGTCAACAAATTCTTATAGGTATTGGGAAAGAGAGAGGAGATAATCTTGTATTCTCAGTTTCACAGAACGGGGTTAGAGAGAGACAGACGTTCTCTTGAGAGAGCTCTTCCATTTAGGTAATGCTTTATTTTGAAATTTTATTCTATAATTTTTTTAGTTTTTTTTTTGTAATGATATCATTCTTTTCTTGTTACTTCATCTTCTTGTTTATTCTTAGAGATGGATTTCCTATCATTCACTGCGTCGTCTTTTAAATTCTTGGATTTTTGACTATTACAAAAAAAACTTAGACTGCTTAATAGTTACGTCTATC